TAAACTATACAATTCAAAATATCAAAAAATTTACACACTTTAAAAATTTTTCTATAACTTATATAGTAAAGTTTTAAACAAACACAAAAAAAAACTCACTTATCAAACGGAGCCTAGACTCCTATAAGTAAAGCTTTTGATGTGTATCCTTCTAAACCCTTGTCTCCTAAAGTATAGATTTTGCTAAGGTAGAACTTAGAAATACCAACTATTTTTTTGTGATTCCCACTTTTTTGACTCTTTTCCTTTTATCATTTTTTCGGTTCAAAAAGCAATACCCTTTACTACCTGTTTAAGACGGCAAATACAGTTACCAAAAATCAGTTGGGCTACCTCTACTTCTGGACGACCAACTTGGGTTGGTAGGCCCACCCGTTGGGACATGAAATTCAAAACTCCGTACATGTCCACATCGTTGACCATATGCCCCACTCAACTTCCAGCCCAAATCAATCTTTTCGCCTGACTGGTTCCTTCACTTTTTTCATCAAAGGCCCTTCACCTTTCAGGCAAGGGTTAGTCTCAATTAATCGCCTCAAGGTATATATCATTTTTCACTTTACCCCATAACCTTTAATTTTACTCACTTAATTCCTAATAAGATAAAATTACCCTTCCATTATTTTGACTTTTTATTTATCTTTTTTCCTCTCTGTTATTTCTTTTTCTCTTTCTTCTTTCTTCTCTCTTTCATCCTTCCCAATAGAAAAATCTATCTCAACGGAAATTTTTATCTTGAATTTATAATTGCATTTCTGGGTGAAGGTTTAAAAGGTTTCAAAAACTAATTTTGATTTTTGGTATGATACCACATGTCACAATTTTCAAATGATGATTATTAATCAGGTCACAATTTCATCTTATGATATTTTCTTGAGAATAAAATGAGAAATTAGAAAGAAAAAGAGGAAAAATCAAAATTAAAAAAATTGAAATGCTAAAAAAATTGTATTTTAGGAAAGTGATTTGAATATTTTGTAATCATTTAAGGAGAAAATAGATCTATGCAATTTCTCTTTTTTAATTTCAATCATTAAGATGAAGATTTTTTTGTGAAAAAGAGAAAGAATTAAAGAAATAAGAAGAGGCAAAGAAAATAAAGGAGCACAAAAGGGGAAAGGAAAAAAATAAAAGAGAAAATAAGAGTTCAGAGTAATAGAGGGATAATTTTGTCCAATGGGGGATAAAGTGAGACAAAAAAATGGTTAGGGTAAAGTGAGAAATGAATTGTACTTTAAGGGGATTAATTGTGATTAATAAATAAAAGGGAAAAATAAGAGTTTAGAGTAATAGAGGGATAATTTTGTCCAATGGGGGGTAAAGTGAGACAAAAAAATGGTTAGGGTAAAGTGAGAAATGAATTGTACTTTAAGGGGATTAATTGTGATTAATCCTCAATTAATCCCTCAGGCAATGTCAACACTTTTATTTTATTTTCCTAATCTACAGCCTAAGAAGTGACTTAAGTTCCTCTCTGGTGGTCACTGAGCTAAGCTCAGTGGTTAATGTCAACACTTTTATGCCCTTTTTTTTTTAAGCAGCCACTTTTATGACTAGTACTATAGTGTATATTGTATTTTTCTCCTCCTCCAAGTCCTCTTTGAATCTTCTTGATTGCTTGTTGATGGACTTGAACCTATATTTTTCAGCTCTTTCTTTGCACGAATGCATCCATTTGGAATAGCTTTTCCACATGATTTTGTTATTTTTTGCTGGACTATGTATAATTTCTGAGTTCTTGTTCTGTTATTTTTGTAGAGATAAACCAATTGTATTGACTTGATAATGCCTGCTGACACTTGGTGAAATATTGACAGGACATTTTTTTTTCTGACGCAGTGGATATCCGAGATTCGACGGATTATATTTCCGAACCTGACTATTCCCACTTTGCTTGTGCCCCCACCTCCTAAAAGACACAAGACGATAACAGGGATCGAACCACTACCACACGGTGCCAGGACCTAAGGAGACACCTCCCGCACCAGCCGAGCCAATCCCGAGGCTAAATATTGACAGGGCATTGATAACTGAAATGTTGAGAGGATATTGGCCTGTTAAGTTTTGGGTTGTAGATATGAACGTTTATTGACTTTTGAATTGATCCCAAACTATGGCTGAGCTTTTGGGGAACAAGGGCGTGATAGCTACTTTGCCAGCCACCATTCACTATAAATTTGGACATTTGACGTTCAAAACCATCAATTATACCAATTTGTCTTTGTCCCAAACCTTTCTCTTTCTCTAAAATTTTCGAATCTAGTTGAGAACCAACACACAATACAAAGTTCCAAATTCTTCAGTCAGTCAATTTTGGTTTGAATCGTGTGTAAATAACACCCGCAATGCAAGAGACTATGGACATGAAGACCTGTTCAAGAAAATCTGTACAAAAGACCCAATTGGAAGGCCCAGAATTCTTTGAAGATAAGATTATTGTTTTCTTGTACGATAGAGGGTTTAGCATCATCTAGCGTTACGTTTTGATCCTTGACTGCCTGATCACACCATCTTCTTCTTAACTTTTCTCTCTACTCTCACATGTTTAGCTCGTTTAGTTTTTATTGTTCAGTGCTATAGATACTTTTGCTTGTCCATTTTTATGTTTTCTTGATGGATTGATGATTCAATCCCAAACAAATAGATCATTTCTCAAATGTTTTTTTTTAAAAAAAAATATAAGCAAGATTTGATTGAATTCCTAGTTCATTTCTGTTGATTGTTGCTCTTTAACCGCTAATACCACAGAATGATCATCGTGTTTCTATACTGATTTATCAATTATTGGTTAACATATGCTGACAAATTACTTGAAATTATTTCTGTCTTGCTTGAAAGGTGTATCTTCTGCTAACGAGTACCAACTAGATTACTTCAAAAGTTTTTTGTTCGGACTCAAACATAATATTATATCGTAGCTCACTTTCAAATATTATAGATCCAATCAAAAGTTCAGTCAGTGTAAAGAACTGCCTCACATGTGTTATCGCATGGCAATTGAAAACTTTGGCAGGCTTGTCCGTACGAATAAGGGCAGAGTATCCAACCATACCGCAACATTACTGTAATGGCTCGAGGACTGACAGGCAAAAAGTTAAATCTCCTAGATTTTTTTTTTTATTCGCCAAAATTACAGATTTATTAGGATTTAGAAAGCCACAATTCAACCTGCAAAAACCGAAATATTTTTGGGATTTACAGGCAAAAAAGGCAGTGTTTGGACAGTAGATTATTTGGAATAATTTTTCAAAAAATAAAAAATATTTTGTAACACTTTATTGATGCAATATATATGAGATAGAAAGGTGATTGAAAAATGTGTTAATGATGTAAACAAATGAAAAAAAGGCAAATAATCCACTTCCAATTTAAGGGAGACACTAGTCCTTACAGCCACTAGGTTTGTCACCTAACCAAAATGTGTTCACAACAACTGAGAGTTTTAAGTCCACATAAACAAAAATCTTAACTGAGTTGCATATCCTTGCGCGGGTCGTCCTAAAATCAAGTGTGGACAAAAAGACAATAGGTACCACATTTCCTCGCAACTGCTCCACACTTTCCGATTCTCTCCCAAAATAACACTATATACATACCAAAGGCCAGTTTTGTAAGGCCCAACAACCCAAGTCGGATTTGTGATCTAAACCTATGCAAGTACTCAACCAAAAAAAAAAAAAAGGCACACTCAGTTAGGTTAACATAAGCAGTACATTTGGCAAATGAATTGAAAACACCGTACCTAGTGTTTTCGGGAAGATGATTGGCATTTCAAGATAGCCTATAGCATTCCATTCTTCCTTTAAAAAAAAAAAAAAAAAAAAAAACCTGAAGTTCCAATATCATTTGCCGCATTTCTATAATGCAGCCCAATCTTTCTGTTGTTTTTGTTACAAGTAAATTTGTTCATGTTTTAACTTCCACTAGATTTTATAATTTTAGTTGCACTCTGTGCATTGGCTACGATTGCAATACACAGAGTGATTGTTGTAAATTCAGTCGGATGGGCTATTGCCATCATAATCTCATGAATATGACGATTTTACCTTCAAAAAATATCAAGCAGTTGCAAAATCAAAGAGTTTTGGAGCTTGAAAAAGAAAACGAACACAACCACATATCAGCAATTACTTCATATACCCCCAGCCCACGGAAAATACACCTTTCAAGGTCGATGAATTTTAAACTTCAAATATACCACTCTTTTATATGAGCGTAGACCAGAAATTTACAGAAGTGCAGATCCGGCTAACAAAAGGTACACTTTTACCCCCCCCAAAAAAAAAGCACATGATAACTAATCTAACCCAGAATTAACCAAATTCATATTATAACGAAATCTAGAACTTCATAGGTCATAAAGCCAGCATTCAGTAAATTCTGAATTATCTCCCATTCTGAAAATACAAAACAAGTACTTTTTTTTTTTTTTTTGTTCTTTTTGAGGTGCACACTAACCACATCTTAAGATCCACAGTTTACTTCACAAACCTGCATTATTCATCATCAACCGGATTTTACATTCTTGTTATTAAGAGATCAAAACAGCAGTGGCCTGCAAGTTGGTCCTAGGCATGAGAATGACCTAATATGATCATAATATTGAGAACATAGTTTGACGGGAGAGGCTTATCTGGGCTTCCCCCAAATCCTTCATGTTCTGCCCTTTTATTAGGTGGCCTGCAAGTTGCTCATAATAATATTGGGCCATTCTTATGCACACCTATTATGATCATAATATTGATCATAATCCCGTCAAACTAAGGCAACTAACTGAGTCATCAACTCCACTATTGATCTATTATTAAGACCCTTTACTTCATTGGGTGTTAGTCTCTTTACCTCAAACTGCTGAATGGCTATTGCATAGGTATCCCTTGCTTGCTACACATTTACACGGTAATGGTGTTCACGTCTCTAATTGTTGCTACTAATTATAGATAAGGTTGCTAAACTGGTCTCCTCACTCTGCCTTTGCTTTATTAAGTAGAAACTATCGATTTCCGTTCTGCCAAAGCAAAAGCCACCGTGCGTGCTGGTGTAGCAGAGTCTGTACCATGATTTGTAAACTAACTGGCACAAATGATTCCCATAATAACAATGCTAAACACGCAAAATAAGCAAATCAACAAAGTTCCAAATCATCTTAGTTTCCAAGCAAGGATGTCAAAATAGCCAAGACACCTATTACGATCATAATATTGAGAAAATAGTTTGACGGGAGAGGCTTATCTGGGCTTCCCCCCAATCCTTCATATTCTGCCCTTATCTTTTGCTTCATAGCTTCTGAGAGCTCGCTCTGCAAGTCAAATAGGCAATACTCATTGAATTTATTCTTCTCCTTGAACAAGACTTCCAAAATTTAGATTTGAGTTCACAGGATTTGGAAATTGCTTCATCTTGTGTTATTAAAACAAACGGCAAGAAAAGAAGACACTTGTATTTCTAAGCCTGCACCAACCATAAAAAGTGTATCATGTAAAACACTGAATATATTTCTCCTGAAATGTTTGCAAGCAAGAGAAAAGGACAAAGTATGTTGACCAAGACTGAGAAATACAAAACTGCTTACAACCTTTCCCGTTGAGTAATTGGCTGCAACAAACTTCTCTGGCTGAGGTTGTGATGTACCCTCATCAATAGAGAAACCCTATCAAAAAGAACCACAGCAAGATTATGTACTGAACATGTCCACTAGATATACAATTTATTCTGATGCAAATTTACATGAAAACTAAGATAGACAAGTAGGTGATCGCGAAAAGCTCAAACATCAGGAAGCTATTACATGTTTTTTGTTAAATTTAAGATCCCGTTGGGAACTGAGAGGGGATGAGAATTGAAAGAGAATTCGAACTTTAGCAACAATACCGATCTTAAAAAAGAAATGACAAACAGTACAGTAGAAAAGTCAGAAGAATGTTTGTCATTTTATAAACAGTTATGGCAATACCAAGTTTTTCTTTGCAGTATTGGGTTTTTCTGCCTTCCTATTACTTTTTCCTCAAGAACCAAGTAAAATTGGATTATGAAACTCAAGAACCAAGTAAGATTGGATTATGAAACTGGAAATAACGCAAGTCCCTTCAACTCTGTCAAGACACTAGGCGTAAATAATTGAGAGCAACACGCTATGTTAGGGTTAGTTCATAACTAGATTTGACTAAACTTGTATCAGCATGAACCAACTAGCTAAGACATAGTTTTGGACAAGAACACGCTCCTTGAATAAAAGATGATAAATCACAAGGTAACCAACCTCAGGAGGATCAAACTTGGCTCCAAGGTTGCTAAGTTTAGCATGAGCCTCAGCATAATCTTTGAAAAATGCTTCTTGATCTGCTGCATACTTCTCAGCATATTCCTGCACATACATAAAAAGCACATGAATAGAAAGAAAAGGGCACAATATCCAAAAGAAAATTTTCTTTTAAAAGCCAATGTCTGATCTCTTTCACCTTAAATGCAGGATCTTCAAAAAGAACAGCATCAGTTGGCAAAACTAGCAGCTCAGCATCCCTTCTTTCTTTAATATCCTACATTGATTAAAATCACATGCCAAAAATGTCATAGACCATTTTTTTGCATTTCATAATTTAACGTATTCATTTACCATAAAGATTGCACCTTGAAGTAGGAATTATCAAACTTTAGCCACTGGACAGTCCAAGATTGTCCTCCTGGGGCTCCTGGGCCGTCTTTCTGTCAAACAAGAAGTAATTAAATAAAACTCAGACTTACTGTGCGAAAAACTAATTGTACCAGGACCAATTTGTAGAGAAATTATATGCTTGATGTTGGACTCAACAAGCATTGGAGAAGAATGCAGAATCAAAAATTGGAAATAACTTAAAAGAAAAGGCTAAACTCATTATAATTCATGAACAATGTCTGCATTTGTGCGTCTGTGAGAGAGAGAGAGAGAGAGAGAGAGAGACTACAAATGAAGAACAGACACTGAAAGGAGCATCTACAAGAAGCTCCAAATTGACTATTGATATTCTTTAGAATTTTGTTACTTGTGATTAAAAGTAAGACGGACTGTTAAAACTGCTAAACATAAGATTCAGAAAGAACAAAACTAATTCTGGAACTCAGGAAGGTAATGAAAATGACAAAAACAAGAAGCATGTGCAAACTCAAAACACATTGAACTCTGCATGGAAGCAAGTGGAAGAACCCAGAAGCTTAACTAAGCATGTGCAAACTCAAACACATTGAACTCTGCATAGAAGTGGACGAATCCAGAAGCTTAACTATACATCTTCTTGAGATTAAACAATGGGATTTGCTAAGTTCATTTTAGCAACTCAAGCATTATTACTTCATATCACCATACATCACGTACTTGTGAAATTACTTTTACAGTACGAATTCCAGTATAACGATTATTAGAAGATTTTTGTCCTTTCTTCCTGGCTTTTTTTGCTCTGGATTAACTTCTTCTATAGGGATCAGGAATGTGATCAGAGCTAAGCTAATATAAAATGAGATATAAGGGTAACTGCTATATGACCTAATAACTTCACTGGTACTGAAAGGCTAACAATATATTACTACAGGTACATCAACTGTTCATAATTACAGGTTTTTGGCATAACTTAGATTGACATCAATCCACTTTTATTTCAGATCACGAAGGGGTCGAAGCGATTAACATGTACTGCAAGTCAACTTAACTAACATAAATTAAATTTAGTTACTGGTCATATTAAAACCGAGGTTAGTAATACTGTACCACTTTCTGTACACATTTTTTGCCCTTTCATGATTTTATTCTTTCAGCTTGTCGATCCAACAATTCTCTTAAAATGAGCAACTTTAACTACTTTGGAAATTAGATCTCAAGCAAGCAACCATGTATTTGCAAAAACAGATCTCTTTCAGATACAGTCTATTCAGAGGTAACTCCGAAATCAGATTGGTTAAGCTTCTAAAATCCACATTTCAGCTACTAATCTCTTTTCATTTCTTCCTTGGATTTAGTTACTTAACAGAACTTTCAAGTGAAGCTTTAAGATGAGAACAAGAAGTCCAAACTCTAGTATCTTATATTCAGGCTTGCTGTCCATCTTGTGCTTGTTTAGTAAGTGTTACCAGTCCATGATCATTTATGAAACTTCGATTTTCATTCATCAAAAAAATCAAAGTTTAATCAAAAGCAGGCTTGGCCACCCATCTTGTGCCTGTTTATGAAACATTAACCAATCTATGATTATTTGTGCAGGTAAAAGAGAAGATCAATGAATCTCTGCAATTCAATCGGTTCTGAAACAAATGAATAAATAAATTGGTCAAAGAGAACTGGAAGAATGTTAATCATCAGTTTGACATGTGAAATCTATGAAGCTTAAATTTCACTGGTGCTGCTTTTTCGTGCTAAAGAATGAAGTAAAATATCTGACTTATATAGCACCTGGCCCATATAATCTGTAACTTTGACAGTAAAAGATTGGCACATTACCGTGTATTTTGTCTCTGGCATGCCCCAACCACTACGCTCTGGTCTTGACCTTCCCAATGTGTGTGCACCAGAAAGTGCAACAATTTCCTGGAAGCAACAGATGAGAATAATGACGGACAGTGTGCTATCTATTTTAAAGAACAATCAAATAGATGGTGTGACAGCCATTACCTTATCATTCAGACCCATCCTATAGAAGACATCACGTAAATGAGCAGCAGGTGAAGGAGGGCCCGCATCTGCACAATGGGACATAATTTTAGCCAGAGAACAAGATAATTCACACTAGGAAATAGATAGCAATGATGCACTTTTTCAGATTCATATGTTCATAGTGGCTGAACATTAATATGTGTTCGTCACATTCCATTGAAAGTAGAATACTTATGCAAATTAATTAATTCCTGATAATACGTCCAACTGAACATTGCTTATATTATCCAAAATACTTGCATTCCTATCACACACTGCTGAAACCAGGCTTTCTGATCCTTCTCAGAGTAACTATATTGTTAAATAGGATTCATCTGCTGTTTATTTCAGAAGAGTTTTGAATAAGTTTCTTAAAAAAAGGTTAAAAAGTGCGCTCTGACTCTTCAACACAGTTTTCTGTCTATTTCCTTCCAGTGTGGTAAACAATTGAGCTGGATCGATCCAATACATATCAAGTTCGCACCAAGTATGTAGAATTTGAACAGACACCGTCATCCTTGCAATTGCTTGCACAAATTGGTATAAATGCTGGAGAGATAACTTCCAGCAGTAAGCTGATTTTGTAACACCCATTAATTTTTGTCCAGAAAAATGAAAATCCCCTTCTTCTGTGATTAAAATGCCCATCAACAGGGTCCTGAACGAAATCCTTGTAAAATTCAATATAACACTGCAAAGAAAATTCTCAAGCAGAATACATCCTACGGACTTCAATCAGACAGAAGCAATATGTATTCTCTGGTCTATGACATAGCAGCAATATAGCGACAAAATAAAGATTCTACATCTAGAAGTTAAATTTTTAATAAAACTTGGGGATTTCTATAGGAAAAATAAAATAAAAAATTTCGTGTGTGATAAGCTTTATACTTGAACAGGATATCCATTGCCTAAGAAAATAAAACTCTATCCTAATCCCATAAAATAAAATAAAATAAAATAAACAAACAAACAAACAAAAACTTCGGCCCAATTTCACTGGAATTCACACAATGTATTTGACAGAAAAGAACACATGAAACCTGAATAATTTGGTTAATAATCTTCAGGATCTTTGACAATCTAAATATGCCAAAAAGACTAGTTATGAAAGGTTAATTTTCATCCAGAAGTCAAATTTTTAATAAAACTTGGGGATTTCTATAGGAAAAATAAAATAAAAAAATTTGTGGGTGATGAGCTTTATACTTGAACAGGATATCCATTGCCAAGAAAATGAAACTCTATCCTAATCCCATAAAATAAAATAAACAAACAAACAAAAACTTCAGCCCAATTTCACTGGAATTCACACAATGTATTTGACAGAAAAGAACACATGAAACCTGAATAATTTGGTTAATAATCTTCAGGACCTTTGACAATCTAAATACCCCAAAAAGACTAGTTATAAAAGGTTAATTTTCATGAAACAAAACCAACAAGGCAAAGGAGGAACAAAATCAAAACATACAGCGATACAAACTACAGACTTGTTTACGGGAACGACCAGGTTGAAATAATTCACCCCGCTAAAGATAAAACCTTATCAATGTCTGCAAAATTTCAAATTGAAGAAAGAGTAAAATAATTGACATTCAGCATTTGACTTGGATTGCAAAATTTCATTCGAAGATGCCGGTCGTACCAAAGAATGTGTACTGATTTAGAAAGGAGAAAATTGGTTCTTTAGCAGGCAAATGAAAACTAGAATATACCAAGGAACACAAGCTACTAGCTACAGTACTTAACCCATGCTCGTAAAAGGGGATAGCAATAGTATCAGCTGAATATGATAAGCCTTTGCCTGTGAAAATGTATAATTAGCATACATTCCCCTGCTACTTTGTCCTATCCTCTTTCTTCCCAATGCTTAATTTTCACCAAAATCTTTCTAAATCTGTTTTAGTTTCTGTAAAAGAAAAATATATGACCTTGTCCAGGCACCTCCTTCAAGTTATTTATCCCTAAAGTAGCATAGTTCAGTTGGAAAAGGGGGAGAAAAAAAATGTGCAACGTAATACAGAGGATAATATAAAGTCTTCAAGTCTTTAGTATAAAATGCTCAGCCAGGTCATCCAGTCATTCCAATTGCAGTGTTCAAAAAGAACGAAAAAGAACATTGGAACAAGTTAACACAAATGGATGGATAATCACCGATCATACCCAACCATCAGATGCCATCATGTTTCAACACGGAAATATTTTGTCAACTTGATAATGATCAACTTAATCATCATAAAATTAGGAATAGGAGAAGCCTATATTCTACATTTCATTGTTAAGTCATGCAGGACGCTCTTATTCGACACAAATAAGAATCACAAGTAGATCTGCAATGGAAACACTCATCTTACCCGGAAGCCTTCCTTCTTCTGGGCATTGTTCAGGTCCAGAGACATCCACTCTTCCATACTTCATTGGAATTTTTGGCCCACCAGCTTCCTGTATAGTTTAATGCAACATGACAATTCAATCAATCTGGTAAGCGTTTTACTCTTGCAATCATAATAATCATTACCTCCACAGCAGTGGCGCTAGCCAACTGAAATAGATCTGCATAAGTGACACCAGAGTACTTGTCTTTGATAGGCAGCAGCAGTTGAAGCGCATTTACAAGTCCTGTATCGCCAGCTTGTAAGGAAACATACAATTGATGTAGCAAAGTACATGAAAGAGAAAAGAATAAATACCAGCATTTGCAGCATGTTTCAATTCAATCTCGAATCTTAGACTTCCATTAGCTCCACCTCTTTGTGGCCAATCCTCTATGTTCTTGTTGTAAGTACCAGCATCATGCCATCCCAAGCGAACCTTTTCACATAAAATCCTAAGAATTAGATTTCAGTGATCTATAACTCTGAACTGTCCTCACAATATTAGTACTAAACTCAAACCACCCCAGAGTAGTACAATTAGATGACCGAAAGGGTTTTACATCTGTTCATGATTTTTTTTTTGCCTCCTTTTGCTTTCCAACCTTTTTTTTTCCTCCCTGCCATTCGCTCTTTCCCTGTCCTGTTTTCCGGTTGGGAAGTTAGGTTTCTTAGCTTTAACAGAATCATCAAGAGGCAGCCATAAAGTACAAAAAGCAGTCGAACACACTTTTCTGCCCCCTAAAGCAAAGTACATTAAAGTTCACAGATTTGAGAAAACAAGCATAAAGAAAAAGCGTGCAACTATTTTGAAACCTTTTTACAAACACTGACATTTTCTTAAGAACCAGATATGCACTACTTTGCTCTTGACCACTCATTTTGGTGGTTACCTCATCATAGGATATTCTTTGATCTTGACATTTGCTTAACTACTAGAGTCGCCGACTTCCAGGATTTTCAACTCACTATTCCAATTATTTCACTTTGCTCCTCGTTTATGCAACTAAACATCAACCAATACTTCTTTCTTTAATTCACTTTTGGACTTGCCATATCAATCCCTTTTCCCGGTGCCCAAAGCTTTTCTTTTTGTGCATATTTTTTTACTTCTCCTTCTTCATATTTCTACACTCCAGCTACAACATCTTTACCTCTTTGGGATAGTAGACAACGCAAAACCACAACTTGATTTTCCTTTTTATTCTATTTCCCCATGTTGTTGTGTTGAACTATGAAAGTTGGTCCCTAAATTGTAATGCTTTTTTTCCCATTAACTAGCATGTTTATAGTAGAATTACAATGTTGAAACTGTTGATATACTGCTTGCCGACCAAGAGAATTTATTTGCTAAAAAAATTAAATTTCAGCTACTTGATTGTATATGGACTAGAACTCAACTGCAAATTTACTGAAAGGTTTCTCCCAATTCCCGCTGCAGCAGCCCCCAAAAAAAAAAAGAGAGAAAACTTTTCTCCATGAATATTAAGAAAACTTAGATGAAGTTAACATACATAACGTTTTAACTGCCTATTTAAAAGTAAATAAGCTATGCAAGCTGCACAAGTCTACATAGCACAAAGCAGAGGGAGGAAATTTCTGCACTCAGAACTAATCACTAGAGCAAGAGTTCATTTGATAATCAAAGAGCTTAAGTAAGCCAAAACAGCTCGCTGGCAGGGACATACTTAATTACGAGTCATGTGTTGAACAGTGAAAATAATCCTGAGCTATTTTAATCCATTCGTGCCAGTAGCATTAGATAGTACACTACGTGCTTAAACCAATTTTTTCAAATTTATTCAATTCTTATGGCTTCACAGTGGAGTGGTGCTTTCTCAACTTAGATAAATAAACCTCTAATAAAGCGCCAAAATTGGGAAACTAAAAATCAATAATTATAAAAAATAGAGAAAACTAACCAAAACAAACAATTTAAAACACACTAACTCAATTAAAACCAAATTGATCCAACAAAATGTACTCAACATTCAATTCGCGAACAAAACGCCAATGAAAATTAAGCAGACTACAGTGAAGAATTCAGGGAGAAAAAGAAACTACTCAATATAACAAAAAAGGACTAGAAGCAGATGTAAAATTACCAAAATAGGATGACAGAACTTGGTCTTGAGGAGTTCCTTAATATCTTCTCTGGCACTCTTCAACTGCTCAGGGTCCGAAGCGAAGCATTTCGTCACCGTGCTGTAACTTGAACTTCTACTCCGCAACAATCTACTCGCCGCCGCAGCTCCTTTCTGCAAAACCAAAGAATTTTGAAACAATAAAGCAACGATAAGAGATGTGAATGCGGGAGGAAATAAGATTCAGAAAGCGGAAAACCTGAGGGAGGAAGAGGTGGGAGATGAGAGGAGAGGATCGAAAGAGTTTGACAGAATGTGGAGAGGACAGGGAAAGTTTGGCGGCAGAGGTAGCGGCGGTGGCGGAGGGTAGGAGGCGGGAGGCGGCGGAACCGAGAGTCAGAGACGTCATCGTCGAATGAGGAGAGGAAGAATAAGTGAGTGGAAACTGAATGAGACGCTGAGCCATCAAAAATGATCCAAATGGTCGGGTCTGCTGAATTGATTCGGATTTAGGGAGCGTGCGTGGCGTAAGAGCTTTTGGTGTTTGGGTTTGGCCAATGGCGAAGCGCCAGTGAATTCCATTTTACGTCTTACTCCTTCAAATGTTTATCAAATCTCAATGTAGTCTATAAGGTTTCGGATTGTAGATATTTTCGTCCTACAAATTTTGTTTTTGTACCCAATATTGCCTTAATTTGGTTGGCAATAGAGATGTCCATTTCATAGAATTGTTATAGGGTTAATTGCAATATGTCCATTGAACTATTCTTTTTTTTTTTTTGTCAGCAACGATACATTTGTATATAACATACTCTATCCTAATTAGGGGGGAGGGGAAGCCTAAGGAGGCTGTGGTAGGGGGTTAGTGGGTATACAGATCCAACTAGATTAAAGAAGTGCTATGACACAACTCTTAGATTTTTTAAGCCCCTCACCTACAACCCAAGGAGGGACTTAAGCCCCTCCCTGATGGCCACTGAGCCATTGACCCAGTGGTTCATTGAACTAGTATTCTCTATCTCAAACTTGTTCCTTAAAGAGTCTAAACTTCTACTTGCAGCAATGAAATAAAATAATTCAAGAATTGAATTTGAGGCACATTGCTCAAATCAACTTGAGGAAAGCTAGAATGGAGGTACACCCTAGTTCTTTCTTTCTAATCGACATCCCTTTCTTTTCTCCTCCTTCGACAACACAGTTCCTCGTCTTTTGGCAGCCCAACCTCTGTGACCTCTCATCCCATTGTAATCAACGTTCAAATTCATGGTTGCAATCGTGGCTATCAATATTGTTCCATATAACTCTTTGCAGATCAGTAGCAGTTATTCTAAAATTTGAGAAAATTTATTGAAAATATAAAGCAGTATGCAAAACAAAAATAACAAACAAAATGAGTAAAAATAAATTACTAGAATGTACTAACTTTACCTATATTCAGAACGGTGGCTATCTTTAATCATTTCCCATCATGCCACCACAAACAACATCTTGAAAACACGCAAGATTTATCTTTTGCATTTGTTGATTGTAATGATTGACTAGATATTTCATAATTATAATGCATAAGAAGTAGTGGATTAGTTGTAAATTCCTGAACATCATAATAGTATTCAAACCCTCCATAGTCAGTACTATCACTAGTACTAGATGATAAAGCATAGCATTATCCATAGAATCTAATGCTATTTAAGTCAAAGAAAGAATTGTCGCACTATCTATTAACTACTTGTTCATAGCTTCCACTGGTATGAGTGCTAGTAGATCTTTCAAACTGTTTAGATCCATTAATTGGTCCAAACCTAGTGTATATAGCATGTATTAATTATATATAATTGCTCATGCCCGCATTCCAATTGTGTAATGCTCTAGTTTTGGTTAGAATCATGCTTTGTAGATTGGACCTATGTCTACATTCTTTATTTGCTCATCAGCCCATTTATACCTTTATTAGAGTTGCAAACGAAGCGAGTCGAATTGAGTTTTGCCTTTATCGAGTCAAGCATTGACTTAATTTCATCGAATTCAAACTCGAGCTCGAGCTCAACAAGCTGACAATTTTGAAGCTCGAGCTCGAAAAAAAAAAAAATAATTATTTTATTTTTTAAAAAATAAATAAATAATATTTTTTCTTAATAAATAATAAAATATTAAGGATATTTATGTAATTTTACTATTAAAATAAAAAAAATAATAAATATATATATATACTCGAGCTCGCGAGCCGCTTAATATTTTGAATTCGAGTCGAGCTTGAATCGACCCGCTTGCGAGCGGCTCGATTCGTTCGCACCCCTAATCTTTGTGAACCTAAATGGTGGGAGAAACTAACCTTTGTGAATCATTTCATGTGGTTACCTTGATAAAACATAACACTACCATTACTTTATCCCTAATGTTATTTTTAGCCACTTTACTATAATTAAACAGGCATGTTAAAACTTTTTTGGGACAAAAGTACCTTTCTCTCTTTTATATTGAAAATACAAAAGCTAAAAAGGTTCTTCTGTTCTTTTTCTCTCTTTTTAATGCCAAGAAAGAGAATGAAAAGGGTTCTTTTGCTCTCTTTTTTCATTTTTTAGACCTTGTTTGATAATCCAGTTCAATACTTAAACTTAATAGATTTCGATCTTAACATATTGATGCTCATAAAAAGATTTGCATGCGAAGGTAGATTTAATATACTATTTTACTTTCTTAAATTATAATCTTTACGTATTGTTATACACAACTTTGAATGCGATAAATCATTTTTTTCCATTACTTAGTTATCCTGCTTTGCTATCATGCAGCGATAATGGAAAATCAATAAATGCTGGTTTGCACAGACAGATCAAGGAGAATGTTCAAACAGAAGAAAAACAAAAACAAGTTTATGAAGAATAGAATATTATTTGACACTATTTAATACACTTTTTTATTTATTTTTAAGTTTTTTAATGTTATGGTATTGTTGAATGATATTTTTTTTTATTTTTGAATTATTATTCACTGAATTAGATGTTCAAATTTATATTATAAGAATACTTTGTATTACAATGCGCACATAGTAATATACTTAAGATAAGTTATAATAGATTATACATTAAATTTTTATTTTATATCAACATTTTTATAAAATTAATTAAATAGTTTATTATTTTTCGATGATTCCCGTTTAAGGTACAAAACTAGTTTTAAAAGTAAATCTCTCATGCACCGTGAGTGTAATATTGCGCCACCTCACTAATAGAAGTTGGTAACCTCTTCTAGCCAGTTTACTATCTTATCAAAATTATTTAATTTTGAATAAAGAATCCTTAAAAATAACATAAAATTCCTTGATCTCTCAAATGATTTCTTCTTCTCCGTCACTTTCCTGCCTCAACCATCTCACTACTACTTTTGCTCTTCCCAAATCCCCAGTAGATCTCAAGCAATGTTCTTTTTGCAATCAAAGTGTGTTGAATAAAACCTCCTACGAAATTTAAACGAAATTGAAGTTTTGAATTGGGTGTAAAAAAAGAAAATTTTGCTGATTCATGTGGGCATGGATTTGGGGTTTCGATTGGGAAAAGTGATTTTGTTTTCAAACTATGTAAAATATATCCAGAAGAAGTTTGGTGTAAAGAAACCTGATTGGTGGACGCAAAAATCAAGATTGAAAATCTGAGGTTCCTGAAATTGTTCCCAACTTTAATATATACTTAACAATCCAACCCTACTGATGTAAAGAAGTTGGATAGGTGTACCAATCAGGTCAATGTACATCCACGTGTGTAAACAGCCATTTCCGATTCCTTTAGGAGAGTTAACTTACCCCCATTTTTATGAAATTTGGAGGAGTTTAGGATTTTATAATTGGATGTGAAAAAAGAAAAAAATCTGGTGATTAAGGGTATGTTTGATAACATAAAAAAGTGTTGAATCTGAATTTTTTCAGACATTCAGATGTTTTGAGTGTTTGATAAATGAAAATCCATTTGCTGAATTTGTTAAGTAATGCTGAACTTGTGTATCTTTTTTTCAGCATAAAAATCCTAACTGAATGCTTAATTCTGATAAAAATCAATAGAATTACTTCAATTACCTTATCTTATCTACCAAATCTACCCTTGTTTGTTAATTATGTTCAAAATTCTTATCTAATTAAACAATATAATATTTTCTATCTAATGATTTTCTATTTTGTTCCCTTTTGATTGATTTTCACATTTTATTCATATTCCTCATATAATATATTTTATCTTTTATATTAATTTGATTTAAAAATATATATTATCATTTTCATACATAACATTTTTAGCTAATCAAATCATAGGTTCTATTTTTTTTTTGGATGAAAAAATATAAGGGCAAATTTGTTAAATTCAACTTATTAAGTATTCAGTTATAAATGTTTATCAAACCGTATAAATAGGTTTAACATTAAAATTCAGATATTCATATATTTCTTTTCAGTACTTAAAATTCAGCAAATTAATTGTTTCAGAATTCAGATTTCAAAATTTAGATTCAGTTTTATCAAACGGAACCTAAGACAGGGTTCAGATTGATAGAAGTGGTATGGTTTTCAACCAATAAAAGGAGAACAAGAGGAATAGAGAGAGTTGGAGGTCCTTTGGGGAAGAAAGCTTCATCAATCATCCGCACCCTTGTATAGATTCCTAGTTCCAGAATTTCACATGATATTAAACTCTAACACCCTATTTGATAATTCAATTCAGTACTTAAAATTAATGAATTCAGATTTCAACATATTCAAACCGTTTAATAATAAAAAATTGAATATCTGAATTAATTAGGTAACACTAAATTTTCTAGACAAAACTTGTTCCAAAATTAAGTGATAAGCTATTCACTTATCACTAAATGTGATATACACTCAAATGTATTAAATTTAATACTTAACAATTCAACAACTTAAGGAATTTAAACTTTAGACTTTAATTTTATGAAACGCATCTAAGTTAATTATGCTAATTGTTTTATTTAATATCAATCTCCAAATCTTGTTTAATGGAAAAAGATACAAGAAGTTACCCACTCTTATTAATGAGGCGGCGCCCTCAATGTAAACTTAGGGTACACAAATAGTGTAGGAAAGATTTAGTCTAATTATAATACTTTAAAACTAGTGTGAATACCCGTCCTACGTATAGTACTTACGTTATTAACAGAAATTTAAAAAGAGGGTAAATTTGAAAAAAGTTAAAAAATTGTACCAACACAATTAAAATCTAAGATTTGTCTAATAGTAGTTCAAAGTATGACAAAATGTGTAGATCATTCAGGAACTGCATTTTTGTTGAAGATGGATCTTGAAATAATAAAAAAAATTTATATTATAAAATGAATGATATATGGATAGAAATAAAAGTAATTGCATAGGTAATTTGAATTCAAAATGAAATACTTACAAACATTATGCATTCGATTTGATAATCTTGTATAAAAGTGTGAGCATTTTTGACACCAATCAACTTTTAGTATGAAGATCAATATTAGTGGTTTAATTAATTCT